TGACTATGCCATCATACGGGTCAATATATGTCTGTGTGGCCCTTAGACCTAACAGCCAACAGGTTCCAGCAAGATCACCACCACCAACAATCTAGCTATATAGGACACCTGAGACCTGCTCCAAATGGAAGTGGGACAAAGGTTGTACAGACAACGGCGCAGCTTCAGCATGATATTACAGGAGGTGGTGACTGGTGAGCCAGGAACTGGGGCTATGGAGACCACGGTGGAAATCTAAAGTAAGAACCCAGACCTGGAACTTGCTGGAGGGAGAGGCACACTGGCTGCAAACAAAGAGCTGTGTACCAACCACAATAAGTAAACTTGAACTGTAGATTTGTGGGTGACACAGCTTAGAAACATGCCCCAAGGAGAAGAATCTGCTAACCAGAAGTACAATGATCAAGAGCAAAAGAGGAAACAGAGGCACAATTAATATTACTGAAGACTCCCCTGCAAAGGAGCAAAACCCTATGCCAACCTCAGAGTTAACTGAGGAAGACATCAAGAAACTGGGGGACAGAGAATTCAGAAAACCCATTTTAAAGCTTCTGATCAACAATGAGAAGCACGTAAAGCAGGCACACAAGGAATTTAAGGAATATGTCACACTGGAATCAAATGAAAGCTGATATAAAAGAAATGAAGAATACAGTGGAGCAAACTAAAAGTACAGTGGAGAGTCTCCAAAATAGAATGAAGCAAGCAGAAGAAAGAATCTCAGAATTGTAAGATATTTCCTGTTACCATGGGGAAACAAACAAGAAGATGGAAGCAGAGCTGGATCAGGCCAAAAAAAGTATTCAAGAATTAAAAGACACCATATTAAAAGGCCAAATATAAAAGTTATGGGAGTCATAGAAGGTACAGGAAGAGAAGCTGGGTTTAAAAATGTATTTAATGGAATAACAAGGGAAAATTTCCCTAATCTAGAGAAAGAATTGGGAAACAACATCCAGGAGGGGCACAGAACTCCCAACTGGCTTGATCAAACGCAATCTTCACCAAGACACATGATAATCAAGCTCTCTTCAATGGAACATAAGAAAAAAGATCCTTAAATGTGCACATGAAAAAAGTCAACTGACATATAAAGGGATGCCATTTAAACTCACAGGAAACTACAGGCCAGAAGAGAATGGAGTGACATATTCCAGATTCTAAAAGAAAAAAATTGTTGGCTCAGGATAACGTACCCAGCAAAGCTTTCTTTTCTCTTTGAAAATGAAATAAAATTCCACAGTAAAAAGTTAAAAGAATTTGCCTCTTCTAAACCTGCCCTACAAATGATACTTAAGGTGTTCTCTTGACAGAGAAAAGGAATAGTGCCCACCAAAACCAAAGGTAAATGTGAAGAACATCCCAGTAAAATAACAACAGAGACTAAATCAATGAACAACTTATTGCTAAAATGAGAGGACCAAATTACCACCCATTCATATTAACCCTGAATGTAAATGGCTTACTCATCAATCAAACGTCACAGATTATTAGACTGAATTAAAAAGCAAAACCCTGGGCCTAGCACAATAGCATAGCAGTTAAGGTCCTCACCTTGAACCTGCCAGAATCCCATGTGGGTGCCGGTTCCCAGTGGCCCTGCTTCCCACCCAGCTCCCTGTCTGTTGCCTGGGAATGCAGTTGAGAATGGTTCAAAGCTTTGGGACCCTGCACCCGTGTGGGAGACCTAGAGGAGGCTCCTGGCTTCGGACTGGCTCAGCTCCAGCAGTTGCGGTCACTTGGGGAGTGAACCATAGGATGGAAGATCTTCCTCTCTGTCTCTCCTCTCTGTATATCTGCCTTTCCAATAAAAATAAATCTTAAAAAAAAAAAAGCAAAACCCATCTATTTTTTGCCTACAGGAGACACATTTCACCAACAAAAATCAGCAGAAACTGTATCTCAGAGATTTTTATTTTTTTGTTAGTTTCACCTCTTCAAAATACTTTCTTCTCATTAAATTCAACGACCCAAAAATATAGAAATAATTGGATCTGAACCCTAAATATTATAAATATTTTACCTGCTTTCTACTCTATATCACAAAATAACCCTTCATTATGTATCTACCCAATATCATATAGCTATTGATTATCTCATAGTTAATTAGTATAACCCCCCCCCCCAATTTTCTTTGTTCGACAAGCTTCTTGTTCATGGCAAGAGGTGGTCGCCAAACTGGACATTAAAATCATTTCACTCACCTTGGTGTCTCCTAAGATTTCTTTGAACCCCCAAATCTCTCTCTCTCTCTTTTCCACTCTTCTCTCTCTCCCTCTTTTCTTTCTGTAACTCTTCCTTCCAAAGAAAAATAAGTCCTCAATAAATCACCAAAATGCTTATATTACCTAATGATTCTACAGATTCAATGTGAGCCCAATGAAAACACTGTGGAGAGCCATGCAGTTGGGTCAGATGGCATGGGTGTGTGATGAGCACCACTCCTTGGTTAGCATGGCTACGAGGAGTTTCTGGCTGTGGGGCAAGGCCCAGCAGAATGTCTCTGGTCACCTCATTGCTGTCTCACCCCATTGTATGGACACTCAGTCACCTCTCTGATGTTTCATAGAATTCTCCTGAGGGTGTTGTTGTTGTTTTTCTGCTAATGTGAAGTGATTCCTGTAACTGGTATGACACCTCAAATTGATCAATCGTGTTATGATAAAAACATCTTTAGTGACATAAGGCAATGATACACAGCTAAAAGCATGCAATATTACAATTGAGCCCACAATGCCTCCAAACATCTGTTATGTGCTCACCTTTGTCCTGAAGTTTGCCCTAATATAAATAATGTTTTCCTTAAGAAATGGCTTGATAATATCTTGGAACAGATGGCAATCAAGGAAGTACAAAGAGTTTGTTTACCATGCACCTTGAACTGTTACAACACATGATATGACGCATTTTGGTTTCTCACCACGGAAAGCAAAGAGTATATGTGGCATCTTCTAAAGGGAAACAAATGTGAACCACACCCCCCCCAAAATGGCTTAAAACCTCAACCTTATATTGGCACTTGTATTTAGGGAAAGAAAACAGTTTATAAAAACTTCTATCTTATATTGGCACTCATATTTAGGGAAAGAAAACAGTTTATAAAGATAAAAGGAAGTTTCTTGTAAAGGCCCTCTGTAGATTGGCTGAGTTGCCTTGATCCCTTTCACTGCCCTTTAACAAAAGAACAAGAAACAATTAAATCAACACTAAGAACAAAAAACAACTGAATCAGCACTAGGTAAAGGTGACTGTAATAATGCATGATTTGATTATAAGATTTAGCAAAGAATCTATGTTATATGCTTTTATAAGTTCTTTTCATTTATGATCTTTCAACTCTGTACTCTTAATATTTTAAGCAATATTATTTGTTTGTATTTAGTAAAAATTGATTTTAAATATAAGTAAATCATTTGTCTCTATGTAACTACATGTGCTGCCAACCATGGAGTTCCTGGCTTCTGCCAGGTCACTGCAGGTTTGAATGAGTAATAGCTTGCTGAAAATAATTTCTCTGAAGTAAAATAATAATAATGTTTTTTAGGACTGATTTTGTAATCACTCTTTTGTAATGAGGTAAAAATGAAACAATTGGATGTTGTGCAAAAGCTTGTAATGATTTGTGTATAAAGAAGGCAACTTTTCTGAGTTGTCCATTATGAGCATCGTGCCATAGTGGTCCACGTCTTATCTCTTCTTATCATCTCACTGATCCACACATCCTTTGCTAGAGCAGGCCTCCAGCAAAATACAATTACATTCTTCTCAAATCCAGAAAAATGATGCTAATTCATATGAAAATTAAGTGACCCCCGAACAGCTAAAGCAATCTTAAACAATGAAACCAAAGATGGGGTTCCAAGACATATTAGGTACAATTATACCCAAAACAACCTGATACTGGCACAAAAACAGATCAATGGAACAGAATAGAAACCACATAAATTAGTCTGTGCACTAGAGTCAACTAGTCTTTAACACAAAAAAACCACAAAAATATCTCTCTTAGGAGTTTCTGAATGAGTGGAAACAGAAAATGGATTAAAAGGCTACTCAGCGAGACCCAGGAGGCAAACCCATGGTGGAGCCATCCTTGCTGACGGGCCCTTTGTTGTTGGGTTTGCCTTGATGCTGAAGTGTCTGTCCAGCCGTTAGGATCACTGCTGGAACAACGCTAGAACATGGCTGACATGCCCAACGGCAAGCTGCAGGGCTCTCCCCTGGAATTATTTAACAGCATCCTAGTGCAAGGATGCTGGGGATGCAAGGACTACCTGGGGATGAGCTCAGGCTTCTTTAAGAATATTGAGAAAATTCAGAAGCATGTCACCGTCAAGCAAGCGAAAGGCATTTCCGGCTTCACTGACAATGATTGCATCAGCAAGTTTTCCTGCCACCCAGTCTGCTCCCTCCTTTGGCAACTCATTCCCACAGATCTTTCAGACAGGGTGGACATCCAGTGCCTCACCCTATGTGCCTCTGCCCAGGACCCCTGCTGCAGGATCGGCTACCCGATTCCTGTGCTAGACCTTGTGTCCAGCCCTACAGTATGAATGGATCAAGAGTGCCAGCGATACCAACTCCTCCATCTCTCTTACACACACAACCAAGCAACTCATGATGTGTACCTGCTCTGGAGGTTCATTAGGTCCATTAAGTCTCTGGAGGTTAGCCCTTAGCCATACAGATGAACTGCGAAGGATGATGCCAGGCCAGCAGCTAACATTTATCGATACGTTGTTCTTTGCACTTCACATTCTTACCTCTTAGTTCTCCTGTGAGGAGGTGATTCCTTACTGTCTTAACACTATAACAATATTGTGAGAAGATAGGTAACTGCCTTAGGTCCCACAAGTAAACTTCTCCTCAGGTGCTAAACCACGTCCCTACGCAGAGTGGATCTATCTCGCAGCTGGACACACTGACTGCTTAGTCTCCCCTCCGGACGGCGGGAGGACATACACCCCCCTCCCCCGGTCGCCGGCCAGGCCCCTACTCACGTTGAGCAGGCGGTGCCCAGCGCCCTCCTTGTTCTTGTCCTTGGGCAACGCCGTCCTGCCATGGTCGTGGCCATGACGGGCCCAAGGATACTCAGGCCCTCTCAAGTGTGTGGTATCTGGGTTGCCGTGGGCACTCTTCTGTGGAAACGGGGCCGGGAACAGCGAATGGAGGTGCTCATTGCGGTTTTCAAGCACGTTGGAAGGCCTAGGCACCTCCTTGGGCGGCTCCATCCCGCCATCCTCCACCAAGGGACTGGCAGCAGCGCGTAACCGCCGCGGCTCGCCCGCCACTGCGCAGGCGTCGCGCATGCGCCCTGCTTCACTGTTTCTGCGTGGAGCCTGGTGAGACCCATGCGTTTGAAGACAGCCCAACAATCGATTTGCACATCTTTACCTGACTTTTTTGTAGACACATAATGGTCTTCATCTGCCTCTTAAACGTCTGTTGCAAATGCACTTGGTTATGGAAATATCACATCCACAAGAAAAAAAAAACCTTAAAATGTGGGCACATTTTAAATATTTAACCCTAAATGCCAGGACATTTTTCTGTTTACTCTGGGACGTTTTATGCACAGGCTGTTGCAATAGATTGCTCCTGGGTCGGCTGTCATCCAATCCTTCCACTGCTCTGGTACTAACATGCCACTACAATCAGCAGCAGCAGCAGCAGCAAAACAACACCTAGAAATCTCCAGAACTTCTTTATTGGACCACAAATTTAGAATTCTTGCTATTTAGACTAAAGGTCTCCTAAGTGGACTCTGCTATAGCAGAATCATTATTTCTTGCTATTCTGTTTGGAAGTATTCTTTTATTCAAGGTCCAGTGGAAAAGTCGGTCTTCAGTTGTCTTATAACCCCATATATATACTGCAAACCCACTCCTCGCCATATTGCTATTAGTGAACTCACAGTTAGTTGCTGATCTCAAAGGATGAGCTCTTGGGAGACAAGAACTGAAGCTTCAATCTGCTGTCTTTGGGGAGCATAGCACAATATCCCAAGGGTCTTAGCACACATTTGTTGTCATGTTGGGATTATACTATATGGTACTTAACTATTATGAAGGAGACTCATTGTCCAAAAACCAACTCTGACTTCTCTGAGGTTCATGCTACACAAGATAGGTGAAAAAAATTTTAAAAGGTTTGTAGAAAAAAAATCACTTATTTTGGTATAAAATTAAATCTATGCATAGTTTTTCATAAGGCATATTTTTTCATGCAAAACCTTTGTAGAGCCTGTATTCACATGGGAGACCCCAAGTGGGCTCCTGGCTCCTGGTTTGGATCAGGTTGCAGGGTGAAACAGTAGATGAAAGATCTTGGTCTCTCCTCTCTGTAAATCTGCCTTTCCAATAAGTATGAATAAATCTTTTTTAAAGCTTAACCAGAAGTAAATTGATTTCTAGTTCCAATCTAGCTTCCTCCTGATGTGCATTCTGCAAGATGACAGGTGATAGGCTCAAACCCATGAGCACCTGTAAGCCATGTGGAAGATCTGGCTACAGCCTAGCCTTGACTGCAGCCCTTTGGGGAGCCAGTCACAAAAGGGCAGTTTGTTTCTCGTTCTCTCTCTCTCTCCTCCCTCTCTCCTTTTTACTCTCCCCCAAATAGATAAACATTTTAAAAAGAAAAAAAAAATCTATCCTAAATCTAATTAAACCTCTAGATCTAACTTCCATTTTGTAAGACCCAGTGCCCATAGGGGATCCCAGCGCTTTCAAAGCGAGGACTTTAGCCACTAGGCCACCGTGTTGGGCCCAGGGAGGGTAGTTTGAAAAAGGACTGCAGAGGCAGATGTTTAACCTAGGAGTTAGGATGCCAAATAGGATATTCACTCCTTTAGGGTAATGTCTGTCCCCGCTTCTGACTTCAGCTTTCTACCAAAGTGTTCCCAGGAAGGAGCACGATGGTCCTGCCACCCACATGTGACACCTGATTGAGTTCCTGGCTCCTCATATTGGCCCAGGTCATTTGGGGATGAACCAGAAATGGAAGATTTTACTTACTTTCATACTCTATCTCTCTCAAATGAATAAATACAGAATACTCAATAATAAGGAATAAACTCTTGGTCCAGACAACTTAGAGGACTCCAGAAAATTGTGTTCAGCAGAAAAAAAAGGCAATCCAAAAAGATAACAGACTAATGCAATTTATAACACTGTCCAGATAGCAAAATTTTAGAAAAAACAGATTATTAGTTGCTAAGGTCAGAGTTAAGCAGTGTAGGAGGGAGACAGGTGTTACTAGAAAATGACAATGTGGAAAACAGGTGTTTTTTTTAAACCAAAGTCTAGTATAGTGGTATATAGCCTTACAGTTGTGGAAAAAATGTGCAGATTTTTTAGAATACATACACAAGTAAAAGAAATACAAGTGCAAATAAAATGAGAAACCTGAATAAGACGGATGGATTGTAGAAATGTGTATAACGTGCTCAAGAATACACTACCCTTTTGCAAAATGTTGTTGAGTGAAACTGGCAAGCTAGAAAAAAAAATCTCTATTATTTCTTATGACTGCATCCATCCACATTCATCTCAATCAAAATATTCAACTAAAAATGTTATGGAGAACATAGAAAAAGTTGAGATGAACCTTGAGTAGAACTTGAGAGACAACTTGTAAATCTGAGAGTAGAGCAAACATTATGAAATTGTTTTCCAGTTGTGTCAGTGATATTATACTGTCCTTATTTTCAGAAGACACATGCTGGGGTATCTGGGTAAAGTGCCCTGATGTTAGCAACTTAATTTCAAAATGCTGTTGTTATTTTTTAATATACAAATAAAGCGAATGAGGCAAATTTTTAACAAATAATAAATCTAGGTTAATTCAGATTATTATTGCTATACTGACTTCAACACTTTTGTTGGATTTCAAGTCTTTGGGGCTCACTCATGTTTGGCTTTTTTCATGTCCATAACACCAGTAGAAGTCCTACTAAGCAGCTGTTCATAGCCAATCTTACCCAAAATAAATTCCTACTCTTCTACCTATCTTCTCTCTCACTACATTATGAGCCTGTCGATGACAGGTACCATGTTTGATACAATTTTTATTTTCTTGTCCTCCCACCAACCTGACAAACTAAATAAAGTTCAAGTCGTTCTGAGATCATACGTGGTTTATACAGGCCAGAGACCCTAAGATGCTAGCTACTTTACTGGTTTCATTGCAGTCACCCAAGGTGCATTTCTATATGATGTAGTTTTTTTCCAAGCACCACCTAGGCCTTTTGTGTTTGAATCTCTGAGGCTGGGACCCAGAAGTCTAGATTCACTTTACTCTGGTGCAATAATTCTCAAGACACAGAAACTGCCAACAAGCAGGGAAGAGAGGCAGGTATCACTGAATCTCTTATTTTTCACAAAAGGAGAACAACAGAGGATGGTCCAAGTGCTGGGACCCCTGTCCAAATGGAGTTCCTGGCTCCTGAGTTAGCTTGGCCCAGCCCCTATTAATGCAACTATTTGGGGAGTGAGCCAGAGGATATAAGATCTCTCTCTCTCTCTTCCTGTTAACTGTGCCTTTTAGATAAATAAATCTTTTGTTTAAAAATGTCAGTTGGGACTATGAACCCACAAACACAAGCCTCCTGAATTCTCTCACTGCTCAGTTTCTCTTGTGCTGTATTTGTTAGAGTTCTATGAATGATTCTTATGTTCAACTGGACATGAGAATGACTACTACAGCTGTTTAAGAGAGATGCACTTTGTAGGATATGAAATTTTTCAAATAAAAATATTTTTTTCCTTTTTATTAGGTACAAAGCATCTTTGAAGATTAAGAAATACATTTTATAATTATTACATGATGCACAAACACTACATTTCAGGAAAGATGTTTCATATCTCAATTTATTTAGTAAGAAAATATTTTAAAAGTGATGGCCTCTTCCCCTTTTACTCTACTCCTTAAATCTGTGTTTAAACTCGATACATATTTTACAACAGAAGAGGCCTTGGCTTTTCCTGATTTAGTACTTCTATAAAGATTAAAAAGACAACTAATTTGACAGAGTAAGAAATAAATACTTTCACCTTCTGGCTTTTAGCTCACTATCACTATCAATAAGATATGATGCTGTAGAAATTAATGTTTGGGTATAAATAGGAGATACAATTTTAACACTGTCCATAATAGTGGGTTTTTCAGTATTATATAATCCAAAAATCAGTTAAAAATATATACATATTTTATAAAGATAACTGTAAAACAAGTTTGGGACAAACATGGAACCACCATTCCCCTGTAGGCATTTTGGCTTTATGAGGAGGCTCTGATTCCTCTGTCTTTTTCAGGACAGTCTTCCACATCGAAGGAGAACAGCAGCTCTGCAGGATAAAATGAACAGATGATATTTTACATTACTTCCTAGTGCCGTAAGAAGAGCTGTATAGCTGCGTTATAAACAGTCTCCTGAAATACTGACATAATACACAGTAACAGAAAGCCCCCAAGTCAAGTAAGAACTATTAACAGTAAAATCTGATGTAAAGGAGCTAGTAACAAATGTGCATCTGTTGTATTGCTGAATGTTCAAGTTTTAGACTTATTATAAATCTCTAAAAGAAAAAGAAAACATGCAATAGAAACAATACAATAAGCCTTGCTGGGATATTTGAGACATGCAGATAGTCTAACATCATTAAAGGGCCAAAAGGTCTATTCTATAGTGATCAGATAATCCAGAACACAGGGCACAGATACAAAGGAACTTGGAACTGACATGGGTCTATAGCAGGATAGCTTCACTGCGTTACTGCCTCCAATCACCAAAACAACCCGCTAAGCTACGCATCACCCTCATTTTATATTCACTTTTTGTTCCACATGGAAACAGAAAGTTACATGGCTTACATGGCCCTGAAAGGGAGCAAGTTTCTACAAATATTTACTAATTATTCATGATTTAGACTGAGTACTTTGGAAGCTGGTTGGATACAGCTTTAATTCTAACCATGGAGTAGAATGGAAGTAGTTGACCTTTTTACAACTAAAAGATTACACAGCCTAGATATTTAATTTATTAAAACACCAAGATGTGTAAGAAAAAGAAAACATTATGAACACAGTAAATTAAGACCTATAAAATATTACAAGTATTAGATGAAAAGCTATCTGTATAGTCAAAAACTATGGTAAATGAAAGAAATCAAAACATATGGCTTGAGATCTTCAAAAACATATCAAATATACCAAGAGGAATAAAGCAACAGGC